TTTCTTATGATATTGTTAAAAAAACATTGCTGGGGCTTAAATGTATTGTTTAACATTTTCTGGGTAAGGAATAAATTAAGTATTGTAAAAACTAACCAATTTATTTGCTTACGGGTCCTTGGGTCTACCCTTTGGTGTGAGTTCAGTTGGATAGTTTCTATTCTGGTTGACGGATGGCAAGTGAGGATTTAATCATGTGGTGCCTTAAGAAAGTCTGATTTATTTCAGATGACTTCACTCTTCTGCCTAGTGGTTTGCGCTTTCTCTGGGTAAGGCCCATGTATCCACCAATTTAGCCTCAGGATTTTTCCATAATGACTGTGCCAAAAAGTGAAGCACTCTTGCGAGCAGATGGTGTGGTGGTTAAGGGACTGGATTCCAACATGGGCTAACTATGGTTTGAGTCTTGGACCTTTCAGCTTGAAAATCATACTGGACACATGTGTGCGCACATACCCAAAATTCCAGGAGGAGAATAGAAGAGTAGGAGTTGTGGTGCGGCTATTCATCATTTCTCCCTTTCCTTCTCTCTGTCTTTCTCCAGTGAACATATGCGCCCTATAGCAAAAATCTAAAAGCAATAAAGAAAGAATGGAAGCACTAGTGGGCAAAAACTTTCCAAACTTAGATTTCTATCGCATTTTCTTTTTTCAGTTTATTTTATTCATGATAGAGCATGCATATCCACTCAAGATTGAGTGAAAGAGAGAAGTACATACAGGGATTCATTATCATGCTTCCCCAGCTCTCTTAACTCATCAGGATCTTAGGCATGTGCACTTATTCATAGGCTTGATTTTAGACTGAGCTGGAGATCCAAAGTCATGGTTAACCATATGCCTTCCGAGACTACAGTTACATTTGTTATTGACTCCAAGCTGGACCTGCATTATCTTTTTTTTTTCAGCTTTTGCTATAGGGCATATGTGCTTGCTAAAGAGAGAGCAAGAAAGGAAGAAATAAGGAAGGAAGGAAGGAGAGAAGGAAGGAGAGAGGGAGAAATCTCAAACCAGAAATATGGCCATGCTTAAGTTTCTTCTTCATTCTCTTCTCAGGATTTTGGGCACACGTGAACATGTGGCTGATCTGCTTTTCAAGGTGTTGGGTCTGGGAATTGAACCGTGGTTGGCCATGTGGGATCCAGCTGCATTAATCCTTATACTATGGGGTGGCCTAATAATTTCTATTTCAGTA